ATTGAAAAATGTTCACAAATAACCGCAAAGCTATATTACTTTCCCCATACTCCTACACTTTGGAATGCAAAAATTACTGAAATAAGAGAACCAGAGTCTATTTTTCTTAATTTTAAGTAATTTTATATCTTCTTTAATTCTTATTTCAAATTTGACGACAATAATGTGAACAAATCAAAATAGGTAAAAAAAATAACAAAATACACACAACCCTATATTTATCGTCAACAAGCCAAATGATAAATAGCTCTATGATGAAGTTGACTAAATAGAACCTTTGAAATACCCAAGATGTTGCAATTACTATCCTATCAAAATGAGGATTTAAACAAATCGGATGGACTTTATACCTACTTCTTTATTTTGAATGTATTGAAAAGTAATAGTCCTTACTTATTATAATTATATTTGTAGTTGAGGAAAGTAGATAAGGTGTACACAGCATTTCAGACAGATTAAAGTGTAAGTAATTACATTAAATGTATTTACATGCCTATCTTCCTTGAAGTATCATGGTTAGACTTTTCTTCCAGTTATTTTGTCTATAAAGACATAGTTCTTTGAGATTAAGCCAGACTTCCATACATATACAAAATTTACAATATTTTCACTATAGCTACTACTATTTCTGATCTCCAAAGCATTAGATAATGTCACCATGACACGCTAAATGAATAAATATGTTATGGAAATATTTCGTTCTAGTTAATTGATAATTATAAACATGAATATTTTGGGTTTTTATACGCGCTTTGTTTGAAGGAATATTTTCATTTCAAGGAACTTTGATACACATTAACAAACCTTGAGAAATCAGCACAATCAACCTTCATCAAATAAAAACTAAAAGACAAAAAACATAAGTTATAACAGTGTCAACATCATGATCAGTACAGTATTCAAAATATATTATTCATAAATCATGAGCACCAAATGTACCTTAACTACGAAACGCAAACTTTTTATCTTGAAAAACTTGAAAAAGTGTCATGGCGGTGGTTGTGAAAAACCTGAAAAAGTGTCATATCGGCGGGTGTGCGCGTGGAACGAACAGTCCAATTCGATGACGTCTAAGGAGGTAAAGTGATGTTATATATTAAGACGATCTTGCCACAACGACAAGGATTAAAACAAAATTGATGTTCTGTTTGTAAGTTTTGTTTGTTTATAAGTGTTGTTAATTGATAATTCAAACCAAGCCCCCAGACTAGCTTCTTATCAACTCGCACGTACAGTGTTCTGTACGCTTACGTCATGTCGAGAATTCCGTAAAATATATTGTTCAAAATTTATCAATAGTTCAACCACACTGTACTTGTTTTTTTGAAATATATAGTAATCGCATTGTTATTAAAAAAATAACCTATTTTTGGATGCTTTTAAAATAGCGGTTTGAAAGATCGCGGCATAATTTACGCTGAAAATTGCCGCTAGAGGGCTCTAACTCTTTTCGATATTTCAGCCAATGAGAAGGCCAGGATTGGTAAATTTTGTCTGAAAGGCCGTCGCAATAGGCTATGCGTACTGAGTACGTTTAGCCTAAAAAGGAAGAAAAATGGCAAAATCTGAAATCTCCACGCCGATCGAGAAATATAACAGCATAAAATGTGTATTTGATTAATTTCTCAAAAGCATACCTTTGTTTACAAAATAATATTTACTCTAACAGGTAAATTGTCACTGTTATCGTGAGTTATATTTGCAAAGCCGCGACTCCTGCCAACCGTTATGTATAGATTTAAAGGTTAACATAACCTCCTCGGCATGTTTGTGGTATCCTATCCCATCGCTTGATTGTAATTAATTAAGGGCCATATCAGAAACATCTTTATCAAGTAATGGCATAAACAAATGATCTATCAATACACAGATTTGCTGCAATGACAGTCGACAGCAAAACTCCAGGGGGTATTTTCATAGAAATTGACCTTTGAGATTGCCCCCATTGATCAATAAGGTGACCAATTAAAACCGTCGTCTCACAAGCCCATTGGGAGCCTATGTTGACAATGACTGTAACCACGCAACAAGGGGCTATAAACTAAGGAGAATACATGAAAAGGATTATTGCTAAATCCGGGCATGTGTTGCCCTAGGACTCCTAAAGGAGTGTTCTTTGTCCCTCAAGGTGCTGACTGATAATCCAGTGGACCAATCAGAATGGTGCTCTTATCGACCCATACTATACGTCAGTCTAGTGGGATGAATAGTTTGATGAGAGATGTTAAGAGGCTGAAGTGATTGGAAGGGACTTACTTAAGCAGGATATCGTAAATATCCTGGAAATGGGCATCGTATAAAACATGGCTTTCACACATAAACGACTTCATCAGGCCGACAAAGAATAATGAGAATACAATTTTTATGTGCGGCCTTTACCACTGCGAACGATTTTTTCTAAAATGAAGAATAGGACAATGTTACTGAACACATATTTTTAACTTAGGAAAGACAATAAATATACTTCTCAGTAGTAACGCCTTGTGTCTAATTATTGAGGAAAAGTGATTGGTGCAAAACAAAGAGATATTTAACAGAATTTTGTCACTTGTCAAAAACTGAAAGATTATGTTTTACAAATGAATGACGTCAAATATAGTAGAAATAGTGTGTATTTGTTAAATTGTTGTGGGTTAAATATCCTCAAAACAGCCAGGGTCACAACAAGAGGGGCGTTTAAAGGCACAATAGATAGAACACAAAGAAAAAAATGGAGAAGGATTGACGGATACATAAATATTCTAAATATTTTGGTTGAGAAATATGCAGTAGGACCAGATAATGAAGGACGCTGACGGCTGGCGTTATCAAACACATTTTCAGGACAATAGATTTACCAACCTACTTGTTTGTATATCAGTCACTATGCTTAAACTCAAAGCATATCGTCAATAAATTAACATACAAACTATCATGTAAGCATAATCTATATTCCCTATAAAATCCAAATACATATTCTTTGTGGTTATTCAATCAAATAATGTTTAATGACTTCTTACACGTTCATTAATACACTAAAGGCACATCTACATCAGATAATACAGTGTGTGCTGTAAAGTAAGATGGATATTAATAATAAATCGCAAATAATGTCGGACAATAAAATAATAATTTATAGTGATCCTCGAGATATAAGCCGTGCATTAGGTTATGCCTCGACATTTCAATGTATGCTTTATGGGGCCTTACCTGGATATAGGCTTAAATAAAAATGAAAGGAATGTAGTAGTATTTAAAGTATAGCAAGCTTGAAGATGGCTATTGTAGCAAAATGTGCTTTTTGAGAAGTACTTCAAAAATTAAAACTACGTTACTTTCTGATTCTGTCACGTAAAGGATAACATATAATTTATTGGTCTGTGCGTGATAAGGAAAATATGTTGCGTTTCTCGGCATCAAGACAGGTTTTCATTTTTTTGTCTGTCACGAGATTGATCAGCTAGTTATTTTGTATCAGTGGATATGGCTTTGCATCTGCCCTGATGTTCGTGTAGAGATATCCCTAACAAAACAAGAAAATGAAAACAAGAAGGAAAAAACTGGGAGATATGAATAAATAAATGAACAAAATCTGAAAAGTTGGAAAAACTGTCTTCGCGCAATGATATTGGAATATTTTCCCATAGAATCAAAGGTTTGATTCACAGACGAAGATTCCCCTTTAAGCAATAGAGTAAAGAGCTGATGCTTAACACTATCCATGTATAATTATTTCTCTTCCAATTTGAAGTTCGACATTTCTTGTCTTTCTCTCCTTTTATTCTAATAGAAATTTTAATTAGAAAGACCATATACTTGATGTCATTCAGTCATTATAGGATAATTAATTCTCATCTTTTTTATTTGATACTTTTGTTTATAGCATACAGGTCAAACGTCATTTTGGGGAAAGAATCAAGATTCGGCAGCATGGACATATTACGGATTATTCGGAATGTGCGATCAGTGACAGAAAGTACATATAAGGAACACGGCCAAGGCTTCTATGTGGACGATCTGTCATAAACCAGGAATTCTAATGGCAGCCATGAACGTGTCACGTTAACCTAACAATAGAATGGCTATATTTTAGCGGTGTCATCTCGTCTGTCAATGTTGACAATGCTTCGGAAACTAATTTAATTAAGACGGGCGTAGTTTACCGTGCGTTTATCGCCACATCGCATCAGTAAAAGTTTACACTTGGGTCAATGAAATGCTTGTCATAGAGCACGTATTTAACGCCGAAGTGAGATCCTTTTCGCGTCATAAAACACACCAGAGACCATGATCGCACCCATTTTTCCATGGCACGTTGTGATAATAAAGCAAAATTCTGAGTTTGATTGCCGGTCAGAAACAATAATGTAGAACAGGATCACGCTTAGAAAAATTGATCCTATGTAAAAATTATGTGAGAAAAACATTATTTGTTATGGGAAAGGTTTGAAAGCTTTCAAATGATTTCCAATATCAATAAATATGATCATGTGGAATAGTAAGAGTGATTGTAAAGGCTAAATGGTGTGTGTTAAACTACTTGTATTTCGAATTTCAATCAGTGTAACAGTATACATTTTCAGTGACAGTTTGGACTCTTCGAAATCCATTTCTATGAGATTTATTAGAAAAAAGTTCTAACTTAACTGTCATTATTTTCATGATGTTTATATATATCGTATATACATTTTCATTAAACGTGTTCCCACCAACATAAACGAAATATAAGGAACAATTTTAATTAGAATATATCACTAGTTGAATATAGTGAATCATAATTGTCATAATAACATCGTTATGATAAAGACTATACACATTAAAAAGATACCATGAAACATAAGGAAAAAATACTTCGACATCATAGCCATTGATGTCTTGGTGGTCATTCCATACAATTACATGCACTTAGCAATCTTGTATAAATCTACAATTATGCTGTCATGAAACCATAATGATATATCTGACCTAACGCCAGAAGTTGTCATCCGAATCTAAAATCTATTTCTCGGTATCCTACTTACTGCGAATCATTTTCTTCTTCTGTTCCTCTTTCAAAGTCTTCAAACAAGTTATCTCCCCTTTTACCGAATCCGTGTCCTATACGCATGACTATTCCTTGTCTGAAACCACGTTTCGTTCTCGTGAGAGTTCTTTGTGGTAGTGCATCAATTATGGACACAGTCACAAAACATAACACTAGTAAACAACCACAGGTCCTCATACTGGGAATGTCTGTAAACAAAAACAACATTATTTTCGATATTTGAACAGGAATTTTACATCTGATCAGCAAACAACAAGAACATACCAACACGGAAAGAACAGCTCCATCCAAATTCAAAATCAAAGAATCGCGCAAAATTGAAAAAAAAATACATTGGAAGTCTTAAAAGAACAAGGACATAGTTTAGGTGTTCCGGAAGGGTCAGCGTCTTCTTCTTCATCAATGACACCCAGAAGCTTCTTCCTGCCGTTATCAATACATCTAAGAAATGTGACAAAAAGTCGTAAATATGAAACGTCAAAATTATTAATAAGCATCGCAAACGCCTGACTTAAGTGCCTGCATTAGGGAACGACATTTTTAGTTACAAAAACTAGTACACGTTTGACTGAAGTATTTGTGGTTTTCCATGAATTAAAGACTGTGGATATACAATTAAACGTTACTCGATAATTTTCTTGATAAAGTGTTAACGACTAGGCAATCTTAAACAATGGTGAGTTTGTAAAGGTTGCATGATGCAAATGTATGACTGACTCAAATACAGAACAAAGAATAGAAATCTGAAATTGGATAATAGATAAGATACCTCGCTGACTAAAGTCGCCCAAGAATAATGTCTATCTCATTTGTTTTAGATTCGAGTATTTTTTGATAATAACAAGGTACTTTTACTTTAAAATGCTCGCTTTTCGTGGTTTTTCAAAAAGAACACCTAATTATTAAATAAATATAATCCATTATATCTACTTATATTCATTAAAACAGCTCATGGACAGTTGAATTCGGGGACTTAGAGTGTCCACAAAATCAATGAAAATAAACATACTATTTCAAAGGATGCAAAATGAAAGCAATTGCAAAAAAACAAATCAATAAAAAGGTTAATAACGAAAAAAAATCAAATATTTTGATATTAGAGAAATATTCTTTTCATCATTTATAACGACCCAGATTGTTAGTAAACACATATATTAAAAGTAAAATGGATGACTGATATATTGCCTGAATCGTTCGTTGTATTACCAGTACAGAGTGAAACCAGAAATAAAAGCACAAAAGAATATTTCACACGATATAATTTTTGCCTTACGCAAATAACTCATCATGCTTGACGTCATCACTAATTAGATAACAGTACCAGCTCCTTAGGTTAGTTTTAAGCTATATTCCAAGTAATACCAAACTGTGTACTAGATGGACATTTGATTCTGTAATGAAAGTGCTGCTCCCAAATGGTCTAGTTTTATGTCTACGCACTTCTTTACATATGTGACCACTAGGTAATCTCACGCGTGATCTGATTTGCCCTAAGGCCTAACTATTTAACATGTGAATCAAACCAAGGACAATTAAGACTATTAATTAACTGGAATACAATCTGTACGATCACCGGCAACACACAACATCTTCTATTATTAAAGGTTAATAATTCATAAACCGCACGAAACCTCGAACGTGAGTCTTCCCGAGGGAATCCGGATGATCTAGTGGATAACAAGATTGGAGTCCATCTAGCATGTGTTGCATTGCAAATAAAATGAAACCTGCATTATTTATCTTTCACACGAGTCAAAAACACGCTCAGATTTTGCTCTTTTGTGTTGCAAAAAGATTTCATCTCGACATGACACATAACAGGAAAAATGCATTGTACAAACGGATGTTCCATCTACGGTTTTGTGATTACATTGTCTTGTCATTTCTGAATATCACTATTATTATCATTTACATTTGGATCCATCGCACCACATGCTGATTTTATATTGGTCTTTCAAAAACTCGATATAAAATGAGAAATGAAATCAAACAAAACATACGCTTGGTGACCATATCTACTGAATTATATACTTTAACAGCATACCCCTTTGCTTAAATATCTTCAAACGCAATTGATTGGGTAATCACTGCTCGTACAGTTTGTCTAATGGGAGAAATATAGAGTTGTAGTATCTTCACTTGTGAAGTGCTCATCTTTATTAAAAAAAACAAAACAAAGATTCAAATGCCTGAATCATACACACACGAAAGCAAAAACGGTCATTAGAACTTCCGCAGACTACCAGGAATACAATATTGACAAACTGAATACTTTAACATGTATTGAAAAATGCTTTTCGTGTTTGTTTTATTTTTTTTTTTTTTTTAGTTTGAAGCCACTTTTATAAGACAATAAGTTAACAAACACGAAATGTTTAAGGAAATTAATACTTATGTTTAATTCGCGATAGAGTGTTGATAGGTATATGTGATACCTACTCCATTATAAAAAATTATAACCAACGTGACCAGCTGATCAGTACCTCTAGAAATCTTACTCTGTCCACCAGCTGTCGATATAACAGAAATCGAGATACCCAGAACAAACCATTGAATATCAATATCCAACAAAGAATGAATGGGAAACTGCTATGATACTAACAAGTAAGGAGGAATTCGAACAGGTCGCGTTCAACACGGAGCCATTTGAATACCGATTGAATATCGAGATATGATATTACATAACTATGTTATCATTGAATGTGTGAACGAACATTCAAGAATTTGTTTTATTTTTAATTGCAGAACGATTTTGAAAATTGTTTATTTTATATATACATTTACAATAAATACAACTACCACCGTTTTTTTCATTGTTTCATTGAGTCCTTATATGAACCGAATAGGTAATATGTGACCGTTTGTATTGAAAATGTACATCTTAAATTTAGACATCAGAAAGTAAACTCTGTCTTTGCTGTACTTTCCAGCCATGCACATCTTGTTGTTGTCGATAACCTGTCATTATAAGGATGTTTCTTTCTGTCAGGTAAGTTATCAAGCATGAAACCAACATTGTCTGGGTTTCAGATAAAGCTAAAAAGTATCGCGGCGGTTTTTTTTTTTTTTTTTAAGAAGCCGTTTTACGATTTGCGCGGGATTATGCAATGTCACGTGACACTTGTAATCCTTATTTTATATGAAATATCGATTTCAATCATACCAGGGGTAATAAATGTAGCGAAAATGCAAGAAACCTGCGTTTTATATTGTTATAACCACAAAAAGGAAACCTTTTAAATGTTAGCCTCGAAATGCTTTTCTGTCATCAACATAAAAATCAATACCAAGGATATATCGTAAATGAACGGCGCTAATAATTTTGTAATCAATTTACAGCATTGTTCGTAGAGAATCAATGAACCGAGTGCAAAGATGTGAACAAAGAGAAGGTTTGCTCGGAGACTTGAAAAATTGGAAGACGATTAAGACATAGGTGTCTGTTTTGAGGATGTGTTAGGAAATAACAATATCAGAATGGACAGTGAAACCAAAAGCTTCATAATCAATCTTCATTATCAATTGTAGTAATAGGCAACTGATATGTTGGACAATTCAAATACCTATTAAATATAATGCTACAATATATCAATCATCTATACAGCATCGCACATCTCAATACAAGAACATCCATATTATCGACTTGTGAATGTCGAGTGTCGAATGTTGTAATACACTCTCCTGTAAAATAACGAACACCCATACATATTACTGACTTGTGAATCTCAAGTGTCGAATGTTGTAACACACCTCCTGTAAAATAACGAACACCCATACATATTACTGACTTGTGAATCTCAGGTGTCGAATGTTGTAACACACCTCCTGTAAAATAACGAACACCCATACATATTACTGACTTGTGAATCTCAGGTGTCGAATGTTGTAACACACCTCCTGTAAAATAACGAACACCCATACATATTACTGACTTGTGAATGTCGAGTGTCGAATGTTGTAACAAACCTGTAAAATAACGAACACCCATACATATTACTGACTTGTGAATCTCAAGTGTCGAATGTTGTAATACACCTCCTGTAAAATAACGAACACCCATACATATTACTGACTTGTGAATCTCGAGTGTCGAATGTTGTAATACACCTCCTGTAAAATAACGAACACCCATACATATTACTGACTTGTGAATCTCGAGTGTCGAATGTTGTAATACACCTCCTGTAAAATAACGAACACCCATACATATTACTGACTTGTGAATCTCGAGTGTTGAATGTTGTAATACACCTCCTGTAAAATAACGAACACCCATACATATTACTGACTTGTGAATCTCGAGTGTTGAATGTTGTAATACACCTCCTGTAAAATAACGAACACCCATACATATTACTGACTTGTGAATCTCGGGTGTAGAATGTTGTAATACACCTCCTGTAAAATAACGAACACCCATACATATTACTGACTTGTGAATCTCGAGTGTTGAATGTTGTAATACACCTCCTGTAAAATAACGAACACCCATACATATTACTGACTTGTGAATCTCGAGTGTTGAATGTTGTAATACACCTCCTGTAAAATAACGAACACCCATACATATTACTGACTTGTGAATCTCGAGCGTTGAATGTTGTAATACACCTCCTGTAAAGTAACGAACACCCATACATATTACTGACTTGTGAATCTCGAGTGTTGAATGTTGTAATACACCTGTAAAATAACGAACACCGATACATATTACTGACTTGTGAATCTCAAGTGTCGAATGTTGTAACACACCTCCTGTAAAATAACGAACACCCATACATATTACTGACTTGTGAATCTCAGGTGTCGAATGTTGTAATACACTCTCCTGTAAAATAACGAACACCCATACATATTACTGACTTGTGAATGTCGAGTGTCGAATGTTGTAATACACCTCCTGTAAAATAACGAACACCCATACATATTACTGACTTGTGAATCTCGAGTGTTGAATGTTGTAATACACTCTCCTGTAAAATAACGAACACCCATACATATTACTGACTTGTGAATCTCAAGTGTCGAATGTTGTAATACACTCTCCTGTAAAATAACGAACACCCATACATATTACTGACTTGTGAATGTCGAGTGTCGAATGTTGTAACACACCTCCTGTAAAATAACGAACACCCATACATATTACTGACTTGCGAATCCCGAGTGTCGAATGTTGTAATACACCTGTAAAATAACGAACACCCATACATATTACTGACTTGTGAATCTCGAGTGTTGAATGTTGTAATACACCTGTAAAATAACGAACACCCATACATATTACTGACTTGTGAATCTCAAGTGTCGAATGTTGTAACACACCTCCTGTAAAATAACGAACACCCATACATATTACTGACTTGTGAATCTCAGGTGTCGAATGTTGTAATACACTCTCCTGTAAAATAACGAACACCCATACATATTACTGACTTGTGAATGTCGAGTGTCGAATGTTGTAATACACCTCCTGTAAAATAACGAACACCCATACATATTACTGACTTGTGAATCTCGAGTGTCGAATGTTGTAAT